CATGCATCACCGAACTGGCTTCTCCAAGCTGGAACCAGGTGACACCCTCATCCTGCTCCTCTCTCACCTCCCACACCCGATGGATCCTCGAGTTCCAGGACGCCTTGGAATCCACTTCCTTGGCTGCTGCCCCTCCGGCTCTGCCTCCTCAGAGCCTGTGCCACACGAGTCTCTGGGCTATTTCCAGAGCACCAGCCCCAGCCAGAGCTGCTCCGGGTTCCTTCCCACCATGCTGGCCCCTCTGACTGTGACCTGGGCTCTTTCTAGATGCAAACCCAAGCTTCCCTGTGGCCAGTTCAGCCCAATGGCTTTGCTCTACCACTGGGATCCAGAGCCCCTGAATCGGCACCTCACATGTGTCTACTCAGCCTTGTTTGCAACATACATGACCTAGAGCCCTGGTAGGGACACGACTCAGCCCTCCTCCTCCAGGAGGTCAAACTCCTCTTGGGCCAGGTGAGGAAAGAGCAGCCTCAAACTTGCAGTGATCCTCCTGCCTCAGCCTCCTGAGTGCTGGGATTATAGGATGTGACGCTATGCTCAGCTTCTGGCTGGATTAATGGAAAAATGTCTAAGGAGTTAGTGCTATGTTATTTAGGCCCTCACAAAAAAACAAGTGGCCCTGAGGTGATAAAACTACACTCAGAAGGTCACAGAGAGGTCTAGAAAGAAAGGAAATGCTGTGCACAGGGAAGTAACATGGCTGAAGGGACAACAGTCGCCTGGGTGCCTCCTGACCAGAGCTCCTTGGACAGCCATGACAGCAGGACCCATGATCCTCATGTGTGAAGGAACCAGAACAAGAGGGAGTAGATGGACCCTTCCAGTCCGGGGCAGCATTGGACAGGGGCCTGCAGGGGTCAGGCTTCTGTGACTTTGAGCGAATCATCTGGCCTTCCCACCTGTGTTGTCACCCAAACAAAGTCAGGCCAGGTGATACCCAGGGCCCTTCTGATTCTGTGACTCTAAAACTCTCTGTGTTTGTCCACAGCTGGTCTTTTATCTAGGTTATAAGGCCACACCAGGGAGAAAGCAGGCACCGTGACTTATGAATCAGAGAGCACATGTGTGACTTAATATTTTTGAGAGCCCAAGTGTTTAAAATATAGAAGTAGTAGCAATTTCAGGGCGTTTTAACTCATGACTGAGAGTAGCATTTCGTATTTGTTGGTTTTGGGGGGGGGGGTTGGTAGCAGAGTTCAAACTCAGGACTTTGCACTTGCCAGGCAGGTGAGGCGGCACTGAGCTACATCCTAAGCCCTCGTATTTGCTGGTTTTTTAAAAAAACATTTATTTATTTATTTGTTTTGAGACAAGTTCTTGCTATGCAGTCCAAGCTAGACTTGAACTCACTGTGGAGCCCAGCTTTCTGCAATTTTCCTGCCTCAGTCTCCCAAATGCTGGGATTCCAAGCTTGTACCACCCCACCTAGCTTGCCCTTTATATTTTACAAGCAACATCTTTTAAGAGCTTTCAAATGTTTATCTTTGACTCAATAATGGCTTTTGGAAGATTCTGTTTACAGAAATAATCCCAGATAAGGACCACGATTTACTCACAAAGATGTTCATCTCAGTGTTATTCAAAGCCAGAAGAAAATTGGGAGTGGCTTTAGCTTCTAACACCATAGGAGAATGAAGTCACTCACGGCGTGCGTCTTACATGCTGCCCTTTGCCAGCGAATGATCTGGAGGAATTTGCAGAATATAACCGAGGGTCGAGGAAGGCAGGATTCTAGTTCAATTGTGCAGCATGATCTCAGCTTGGCAGAAAAAGGAAAGCTCACAGATAAGAGACCAGAAGGAACTCTGGTTAACAGGATTCTGGGTGATTTCCCCCCCAGTTCTTTGTACCTCCGAATGTTTGGCATCTATTCCTTTGAAACCCTGTTCTAAAAGCAGTGCGGAAATGGAATCTGAGGAAGCAGTCGGCATTCTCACCTCTCCTTCCAGCCCTGCTGGGATCCTGGATCCCTTCCTGTCCTCCTCCCTGGGGGGGAGGGGGTGTGGTGGCCACGTGGTCCGGCTCTGCCCACTCCAGTGGGGAGAGAACGGAGGGGCAGGGCAGGGCTCTGGAGAGAGGCCAGGAAGGACTCCGTGTCCCGGAGCCCAGAGAACTTCGGGATGTGGGGATGTGCAGAGAGGGGTGACGGAGGCTTTAGAACAGAGGCAGGGACATAGCCCGGGGCCAGGGAACCCCGCTGCCCTCTCCTGCCACGAGCTGTGTGGGCTGCAGGAAGCCAGGGGCCCCACTTGTTAACATGGAGCAGATCGGTAGACTTCAAGGCCACGCCCCTCTCTAAGGACTAAGGAGTCTGCCTGCAGCCGAGGTTTGTGGCCGCTGTGCTGAGGGCACGGAGGCTCAGCGTAGTGGGAGGGGCAGAGCTTCCTCCCCATCATCACTGCCAGGCCAGGCAGATGCCCGCTGCTCTCTCCTGGGCCAGGCATGGTGCCAACCCTGCGGCGTGGGAAGATCCAGCTGAGAGCTTCTTGTCCTCAGCCACCGCCAGGTCTGCAGCAAAGACGAGGATCTCCGCAGGTTGGAACTGCAGCCATTTCCAGGCGGGGACTGGTGCAAGAGTCCAGCCAGGAGCTCATGGCGGGAACAGACAGGCACAGCCTGATCCTGCAGGAAGAGGGTCAGGAGCAGAAACTTCATGAGGGTGTGCGTGTGTGCTTTTGCACACGTGTGCCTGCTCCCGTGCCCATGTGTGTGCACACATGCGTGCGTGGCCTTGGCATGATTCAAATCCTCAGAGGAAGAGACTGTGGCTGTCCTGTCACTTAAGATGACTCCAATGCCTTTTTGGCTTTGGTGTTGACAAAATTCAGGCAGTTTCCACTCTCAGGGACTTCGTGTTGGCTCCTGTACCACGGTCTCCATGGGCCCGATAAACTGGGTGGCTGAAAACACCACACATTCTTCTCTTGGAGTCCGGGAGAGCAGAAGTCTGGAGTCAGTTTCCTGGGGCCATAAAGGTGTCCGCAGAGCCAGCCCCCAGACTTTGGGCACAACCCTCCCTGGCCTTTCTAGAGCTGTGTCCCTTGCTGTCCTTGTCGGTGGCTGCTTCCTCCAACCTCACAGCCGGTGGGCAGCACATGTCCTGTTTCAGAGTCCCTTTGCCTTCACCTGCCACCTCTCCACCTCCCTCTAACAAGGACTCTTGTGATTGTGTGTGCCTCCAGCTGGTCCCGGGTAATCCTCCACCTCAAGATTGACTTGCTCATGCCTGCAAAGTCCCCTTTTCCATGTGGGGTCACACTGAGCTCCTGGGGCCTAGGCGGTGGATATCTTTAGAGGGACATTGTTCAGTGACTGCATGGGCCTTGTCAGGGCCCTGGCTTCCCTCTCACTGCAGATACACCATCTCCCATGTCCCCTCCACCCCTGGAATCCCTTCCTCAGTGGCTTCCCCCCACCTGGAAGGCCACATCAGAGGGTAAGACTTGTGGTGGTGTCCCCAGAGAGGGGAGCTGCTCAGAGGGAGGTGGCAGTGGAGTCCTGGGGCCCCTAAACTGGATCCCCAGTTCCCTTCTCTGGCCTGTGTGGAGGGGACTGTGCTGGAGAGCCCCGGACCTCCCCTGTCCCTGCAAGTGTTGGTTCCAGGCGGGATGTGAAACCAGGCTGCCCCCCACTGGCCTCCAGTTCCTACCTGGCAGTAGACAAGCAGTGGCCAGACATGTGTGCCTGCACACGCAGATTACCCAGGAAGTGGCACAGGACTCAAAACTGCCAGCACTCACCCTGACAAGGTGCCACAAGCTAGACCTGAAGCTTTGATGTCAGTAACTTGGGGGTCACCTTCCTAACCCCAGAGGCCAAACTAGCTCTGACTTTTGCACATCAGCGGTCTGGGCCCAAGGTACACTTTGAACGCATTCTGTTTAGGAAGTGATCTCTAGGAGGGGGAGGGGATCCTGTGGGACCTGGCATCAGTCTGTGCATACATCTGTGTCTCTAAGCATACAAGTTCGTTACAGTAAAAATTACTCACTAAGTGCCCTAAATGTATCCTGCAGATAAAAAAATCTTAGTGGAGAATATCTAGCGGGGTCAAATGGAATTTCTAATTTGAGTTTCTTGAGGAATCTCCATACTGATTTCCATAGCGGTTGTATGGAAGTTGATATTCCCACCGACAATATAGGCGCCTCACATGGAAGTGGCCTATATGTCCACCAACAGATATATGGTTAAGAAAATGTGGCATTCACACACAATATAGCACTAGTCTGCCATAAAGATAAACTTGAGTCATTTGTAGAAAAATGGATGCACCTTGAGACCATAATGCTAAGGGAAATAAATCAGACACGCAAGCTTAAATATCACATGGTTTCTCTTATATGAGAAACCTAAATTAGAAATAAAGAGCAAAATAAAAGACAGATAATAGGAAGTCAGGGCATAGATCTTTCTCAGAGGTCAGGGGATCATGAGAGGGAGGGAGGAGGATTGAGGAGAGGGATAGGGGATAAAAAATGAAACGTGTTCTCTACACGGAGCAACTCTACACAAGCAATGTAAACATTATGTACTGCAGACATGTAATAATAAAAACTCTAAAAATAAAATTTCTTCTTTGAAAAACAATGTTAGTGGAAAAACTGGAGAAATCTCAGGAAAGCCTAGAGTTCAGCTGGTAGTTATGCAGCTTTGTCAGTTTTGACAAAGCAGCCACAGTTATGTAAGATTTGACAGTAGGGGAAACTAGGTGCAGAGTGGCTCGAGAACTCTCTGTTCTATCTTTGCAACTTTTCTGTAAAATCCAAAATTCTCCCAAAATAAAAAGCTTCTTTGGGGCCGGGGATTTAGCTCAGCGGTTCTGCGGCCTGCCCCACAAGCGTAAGGCCCCGAGTTCAATCCCGGGTACCAAAAAAAAAAAAGCTTCTTCAAAAAATTCTGTTCTCAAGTTTTAAACCCAAGCGACTAAGGCAAATCCACAGTTCAACTTTTTTTTTTATTAAGGCATTACACCATACAGTACATACCTATCCATATTCAGAAGCATGCAGCTTGTGGAATTGTGCACATGAAATCAGCCACGTGACCAGCCCAGATGGCATGTCCTGTGAAGCCCAGCCCAGGCCTTTGCTTATTTTTATCAGATTGGTTGTTTTTTTCTTGTTGATTCACGGGAGCTCCTTTTGTATTCAGGATACAAGTCCTTGTCAGATCTGTGTGTTATCAATGTCCTTCCCCAGGAATCCTGACAAGCAAAGCTCTGGGCCCTGTGAGTGCCAGCAGTCCAGGAGAGGGACTTGGGCTCACAGGGGCAGGGGGCTTGTCCTGTGCCTGACTCACGGCCACTGTGCCTGCACAGGGAGGTGGCTCTTCCAGGAACTAAACTACAAAGCCTGGCATGGTTCTCAGGGTCTTTCTCTAACCCCCCTTGCCCGGGACAGTCCCGGTTCATGCCCATTGCCCTGGTGTCACTATTAACAGCACCCCTTGCAGGCTCAGAAGTGTCCCAATTTGGGTAAGATGCTTCATCTTCTCCAGGATCTGCTGCCCTGGCTGTCGGTAGAAATTTCACTCTTCTGGGCTCACCCTCAGGCTCCACCCGCACCCCAGCTTCCTTTGAATGGCTTGGTGTTTGTCGGTTTGCTTTGTGAGACCTTGTCCGCTAATTCACATCTCAGGCTCAGCTTTCCCCAGGAACCCTGTGAGCACAGGCCAGAAAGAAACGGGCTGGACACGGTGCTTTATCAGGACTATGCAAAAGCCGTGGGCTGGGGATCAGGCGAGTGAGCTCTGGAGCCTGACAGCCGCTGCTCAGGCCGTCCCGCCCTCCCTGGCAGGGGCTCCGAAGGCCAAGCTCTCTGGATCTGAGATGAAAACAGAGCCTTCTGGAAGGACTAGAACAATAAAGAGCTAAGAGGTCGCCCATGGAGGGAGCCGGGAGGAGGCTTCCAAAGGACAGGGACAGGAAAGTAGGTGTGTGCCACCCCTCTGTCAGTGCCTCAGAGCAGAAAGGCAGCCACTGGCTGGCAGGCAGCTGTCACGGGGCCCAGACAGAGGCCGGGAAGACCTGCTTCAGGGTGAACATGAGGAAGACCACCTCCGCATAATCGTTTGCCTCGTACAGGCAGCCGAACTGGGGGGAGCCATCGGGGCCAGGCCCCATACTCTGCAGGTCTGAGTAGGCAGAGCTGCCTGTGGCCAGCAGGGCTGGCCTCGACCAGCCCTCAGGGTCCAGGGGCTGAGAGTTGAGGTAGGCACCCAGGTTGGACCTGTGATGGGGATCCGTGGGGTGAGTGTACAGCAGCCATCTGCCGAAGGCGCCTGGGCCCTGCCCGGGGCCCTGGAAACTGACCACGCTCCCCTGGCAGCCATAGGGAGGCTCCACGAGCTTCCTCACCACCTTGCTCTCACTGAAATCCAGCCCATCATTGGTGCTCTGGGCCTGGACCCTGGCCCTGTGGGGGCTCCTGGCATTGAGGTACACTACCCTGTCCTTCTTGACTCTAATCTCAGCCACCTGGCACTCCACGGTGTCCTGGCCCACAAAGCCGCTCCTCACCCACGTGCACCCTTGGTCGTGGCTGAGGAAGCAGAAGGCCGAGGCGGAAGGTGGCAGCGGGGCCGGCTGTGTGCAGTAGGCATAGGCGGGCACCACCAGGGTCCGAGTATTGTTGTGCAGCTGCAGGCAGTGCCCCGGGCCCACGGCAAATGTGGCCCATTCCCTGTGGGCCGGGCCGATGGCCACGTCCGTGATGTCCTTGGCGGGGCTCCAGGTCTCCCCATAGTCCTTGCTGATGGTGTGGCACAGCCTTGTCACGTTGACCCCGGTCTGGAGCTGGTGGCCCTCAGAGACCTGGCCCAGGACGGCAATGAAGAAGAGGAAAAGGGTCCCCGTCTGCTCTTCGTACAAGGGACACGGGTTCATGGAGCGGTGGCCTTCCAGCTGGGCTCCGGCCACTACCTTCTGCGCTTGCCACTGATGGGCAGAGAAGGGGAAGGAAAAGTCTTAAAAGAGCTGGTGACAGTGAGAAGAGCTCACTCTCTGCTCGGCACTGGAATGTCTGGGGGGTGGCATAAAGACCATGAGGAGCACTCTGGCTCCACTCACACACACCGAGGCTCCCCCTCAGCCCCTCATTCCCTGCCCAGTGCAGCACACAGTCCCCTGTGAATGCATCCGCCTAGGAGGCTGCAACCCTCTGCCAAAATCCAACATCACCATCTCCTCCGGAGGGAGACAGGCATTTTAGCTCCATCTCCTGTCTGTGCAGCAAGAGGCCTGCAGGCATCTGTGAGTCACCCCAGGCCACCCCTGTGTCCTCTGATAAGTGACAGCCCTGGGACTTGACCCCAGGTCCGTCTGCTTCAAATCCAGTGCATATGGACAAAACCGTTATGCATGAGCCTAAAACAAAGTTTTAACCCCGTGCTTTGAATAGCTGCCACGTGTAATGACCGCTAAGTCATGGCAATGATACTGTTAAACCCCGTGACAGCCAGCCTGGGGTGTCTTCACCACGATTAATTCCTTCAATTCCAAGTGGGAACTTCAGGGCCCAGGTTAGTTTGCATGAGTCCCCAGTGATGCCATCACGCACCTTCCTCCCTCGGTTCTCCCCGGGAAACTGGGGACCCCCTGCCACCCCTTCCTGCGTGGCTCCCTGACCCCATCTGGGCTTCGGGTGTCTTTTCTCTCTGTCCCCAGCCCACAGCCACTGAGGGATGGGATTGCGCTCCTGTTCCACGAGGTGCAGCCCGGTTCTCCCTGCGCCCACCAGCGAAGGGGAGCCGTGGAGGGACCCTGGTGGCTCACCTGGACCCGGTGGGTGGCCGCATCGTAGGCTCCCCTGCGCATGATGATCAGGTCCGCCTGCTCATCCTTCTGGCTCCTCCGTTGTTCCACGAAGGCCAGCAGGGTGCTCTGCCCCGGCAGGTAGAGCAGTGCGGGGATCCTGTAGGTGTGGGTTCCTGACTGGAACAGCTTCTCCCGCTGCAGGACCTGCGAGGTCTCCATGGGGCTCGGGACAGGAAGGGGGCAAAGGTGCGTCGCCACAGTCACGCCTGTGTCAGGAGCCAGAGTTGCCGGTCCAGACAGGAGACGCCCGAGGGCCAGCCGACCCATGTCTGGGTGGTCTGTCTGTCCACCCACCCCCAGGCTCCTCCTATTCTTTGGTCTTGGTTTCCTGTTTGTTTGGTTTTGTTTTGGGTTTTTGTTTTGTTTTGTGAAACAAGATCTTGCTTTGTAACCCAGGCTGGCCTTGAATTCCCAGCGATCCTCCTGCCTCAGCCTCTTGAGTGCTGGGACTACAGGCGCACACCATCACACCCACTCCCTCTCCTTCACACCTGAGACCCTGCTTGCCAGTTCTGCATGGGCCTCCGTTGGGTTGGCAGCACCCCAACCAGGAGCTGCTGGTGTTGGGGAGACGCTAGAGAAATGTATTTTGCAGTTGGCTTTGCTCTAAGTTAACAAGTCTCCTCCCAGCAGACCCTGGTAACCTCGGCTGCTTTCTCTGAACAGTACATCAGTCAGGTGACGAAGCTCAGTTAGGGGAGGCGTGCTCACCGCCCAGGGGTGCTCTGCAGCTGTCCCACTGCCAGGAAGTGACACACTGCAGCTTTTTATAACTCCAGAACCCTAGAAAATTGTTTTTCAGGGGAGAAAATGCCTGGATTCTGCAGGTTGTGTTTCCCAGACTGCCTGCGGCTGAGGCAGCCCTGGTAGAGGCAGAGAAGGATGGGCTCCTGGCTGAGGGGGGAGGAGCCCCCAGAGGTGGAAGAAAATAATCGATCATAAGCATTCAGCTAAAAAAGGCCGGTTGCGGAGGCGCAGGACTGTAACCCCAGCGTTCAAGAAGCTGAGGCAGGAGGATCGCCATGAGTTCTGAGTTCGAGGCCAGCCTGGGCTACACAGCAAGACTCGGTCTCTAAAAGGCAGACAGGAGAGGGAGCAGCAGGAGGTAACACGGTGACAGCAAATGACAGCAGTTTCCCTTCAGAGACTCCAGCCCCTGCCGAGCTGATTGCTCTGGGCTTCCAAGCTTGTGCCAGAGACAGCTGCACGTGGTGACCACCTACAAAGCGTCCTGCTGGCCAGTGCCACCTTCCAATGCCTGGTGCTCCTGTCTCCCCCTCTGCCCTCCCTTCCACAGGGGGAGGGGGCGTGTCAGAGCCCCGCTTCCTGGGAACCCCGCTGTGACATGGCCTTTGGGAAGGGGAAGTGGTGGTGGGTCAGCAGGAGGGGGCTTGGGTGTCCCTCCCTCTGCCCTTTTGCAACTTTCTACTCCGCCCATGCATTATCTGCTTGGGACTTAACGCTCTTTGATAAACCAATGTCTATCAGTCCACTCTTCATGTCACAGCCAACATTATTAGACAAAGTGATAAAATACAACTTCAAAGGCCGAGGGCTACGTGAGAAAAATAAAAAGGTGTTAATTACCTAAACACAGGTGGAGGAATGAAGTCTGACAAAATCTGGGACTGCAGGCTGCAATCCAGGAAAGCAGATGCGGTTGTGACGGAGATGAAATCTACATGGGAAAAAACCCAAATACGGTCAAAGTTTGAAAACGTGAAGATGGAAGAGGAAGGCAGCAGACTGATGGAAGGTTCTCGCCTGCATCAGCGAGTTTGCAGGAAAGCGTATCCTCCAGGAGAACTGGATGCTGTGGGTACAGTCAGGTTAAAATGTGACTATGGAGGGCCGGGGATTTAGCTCAGTGATTCTGCCGCCTGCCTCAAAAGCCGAAGGACCCGAGTTCGATCCCTGGTACCAAAAAAAAAATGTTAGTACGGAAAATGCCCAGGATCTTTGTGTGCTGGCACAGTTAGCTAAGGACATCAGCAAGGAAACTCCAGAGGGGAAAGCTAGACAGACAAGTCCCCAAGGAACCAGGAGGGAAGAAGCAGCGGAGGTGAGTGTGGGGCACAAGTGGGGTCTACACTAAGGCCCAGGAAAGGCACGGGGTGGGGGGGCGGTGCTGGGCGGGGCCAGTGTGGCCAAGCTGGGGGCTCCAGGCTTAGAGCTGGGAAGATGGGGGAGGGGCCTGAACGGAACCAGAGACTGGATCCCTGGCTGGTCTGCCCGTGGAAGTAGACCTCTCTAAATTGATAAGTAAATAATTTCACATAGTTCACTATTCAGCTTTTTTTTAAAATTGAAGTCTCACTCACAAGGCCTGGGCTGGCCTTGAACTCACTATGTAGCCCAGGCTGGCCTTGAACTCTAGGTGATCCTCCTGCCTCAGCCTCCCCAGTGTTACAATTGCCACACCTGGTTTAGATTCCAACCTTCTTAAAGGTGGCAACAAATTCATCCATGAAGCAAGTATTGATTGCATTCCCATAGATGCCCAGTGTCTCTCTAGGAACTTGGCTTGTACCCTGAATAAAACAGACCAAGAACCCCACTGAGTCCGTTTTTCCATCACTGGGACACAATGCCCAACACCCGTGACTTAAAGAAGAAGACCTTTAGTTCACCTCACAGTTTCAGAATGATTCAGTCCATGGTCAGCCAGCTCCAAAGCAAGAACATCATGGTGGAAGGGTGCGGTGGAGCAAAGTTTCTCAACGCATGGCACCCAGGAAATGCCAGAGAGGAAGGGGTGAGGGACCAGATGTGGAACCCAAGGTCACACCCCCTGACCCACACAGACGCACCACTGATTCCCTGGGCGGGTCCCGGGCCAGTCAAGCTGACACTATCAAGCATCCCCATTACACCTGCCCTTGTGGAGCTTGCATGCTGTTGGGAGGCAAGGGTTGCTTAACATTGCCAAACCCCTAGATGGTACTGGCTGGGGATTGCCAAATTTGACCTGCCACACCCTGGGCTCTGAACAGCCTGGGTCTCACCATGATGGTCCTCATAGAGCTTGGAGGCCAGAAGGCTCTAGACCCCTGCTGACCCCAGTTGCTACTCAGCCACTCTTTTTTCTAAGCATTTGCCTTGTGTGTATTTAGAGACAGAGCTGGGCCCGGGAGGCAGGGCCAGGGGGACTCAGGGTCAGCACAGGGGTCTCCTCCACCCCTTTAGCCACTCCTTGCTTCCCAAACTCACACCCAACAGACAAAATCCATGCCCCTATAACAATGCCAAATAGTCAGACAGCCCTTACAAAGTGCCAGGCATGCTTTAAATCCTTGTTAACGTTTTCTAAAAATTGCTTGCCAATTGCATTTGCAAATTTTCTAACTTATGATATGATCTTAAGGATTGATTCACTTAATCCTTGTAACACCCCAGGTACCTTTATCATCTCATCAGACAGATGAGAAAGCCGAGCTTGCTCAAGCCTTTAGTGGCTGTGCTGGGAACAAAGACTCTTCTGACCTCTGCAGCCCCTCCTGCCCGAGGACAATGCCAACAGATGACTTGTGCCCCGGGACAGGCCCATGGAGCCTTGGACATTGTTATGGTGGACACAGAAGGAGAGTTTGTCACTAGGGACTAACACAGTGAGCTTGGAGGGGTGAGGGGTGGCCACACCAGGCAGCCGGAGAAGTGACACTATCATCTTAGAAACTGCTATTTAACTGTCAAAAGTGGCCACCTGGCAGCACTTTCCTGTAGTCCCATGTAAGGCTACCAAGGCTGACACTTTGTGTGGTCCTGCAGTTCCCAGTCCCAGTGCCCAGCATCCCACCCGCCCTGGGAGGCAGGTAGGAGTCTGCCTTCCTGTTGCAGAAGTAAAGAAACAGAGAAGGGGGCTGGCTGGGGAGGCCAGAGATGACTCCCACAGGAGCTCGAAGTTTGGAGGTGACAGAGCGGCGTGGCTCTGAGCCTGGATCTTCCAGATTCCGCAGCCCACACTCCCACAAGCCAGATCCCCCAGCTCCCGCCCTGCAGCCGGAACTCCGAACGTTCTGTGAAGCTTCTCCCAAAGACACGAAGTGGAAGCTCCCGCCGGCCTTCTGGCTCTCTGTTGCCTGAGTGTGGCTTAGTGGGCACCTCACAGAGCTGAGAGCTCCGGCCACCATGCCTTTGCCAACTCCGGCTCACACATCTGCACTGAGCACCTTGTGTGTGCTGGGATCAGAGGAAGGCTGAGTTGAAGCCCTGGCCTCCGGGATCCCTCAACAGCAGATAAAAGCCAATAATTACAGGGTACCAGGAAGACGCACACTTTGATGCTTTTCCTGGAGAAAAAGCCTTTGACCTCCAGTCAGTTTTGGCTAGGACATTGCCTATTTCCCCAAGAAATTTGCCAGCAGGCTCAACAGCCCAATATAAACCCAGTGTGTGCTGGGATCCACAACCCAAACCAAAGAGGGCTCTCTACTCCCACACTGACACAGGCTGAGGGTCCATCCGGGATGGAATTCAGACCAGCAAGTGCTCGAGGGCACAGCCAGGAGTCCCCTAAGCTGCTGACCCGAGCCCTCCCGACTCTTTCCCCTTCCTTCAAGCACCCTGGCTTGTGAGCTGGTGTGCACCTCCCACTTGCCATCTTCGGAAGATTTCCCAAGCACCACGCATCCCTCCATAATTACCCGGAGCAAGAATCTTGTCTGTGTCAACAAAGGACCGGGTGGGTAGATTTAGAGATAAGCCGTACCTCTCCACCTCCCGGAGGGCATCCCAGCGTGAGGTCAAGGTGTGTGAGCTGAGGCCCGGGAGTCTGACTCCTAGGAGGCTTCGAGGCTCCTGCACCCTGGGCCTCGCCTCCGTCCCAGGCACCCTGGATGGCCCTGGGGCTATATACACCCTGGGAGTCCCCAAGCCGACTTCCCACGCATCTGACCTAGCACACACCAGGGGCACTGTCAGTATCCAGGCCCAGCCCTGGCCCAATTAGGGCACTGCCTAATGGTCAGGAAGAATCTGCCCTGCTGCCTACACAGTCAGGCCTGAATCAGAGGGTGAATTCGGCAGGCTGAGTCAGCGTGGCCTCCTAAGAGCTGAGGCACTGAGCAACCGTGTGACATGGGAACAGGCTCCCTGGGGCCCACGAAGGTGCCGGGCAGGGACCAGCTGGCAGGAGTCCTGCAGGACTCGTCTGCCCGTCTGGGGAGCCACAGTCTAGCTGAGTGGCCTCTTGAGACCTCCATTTCCTCCTCGGAAAAATGAAAGGAAAACCTCGCAATAGACTGCAAGCCACGTGAGAGCATTATCAGAACCAAAGCAGTCACTGACAATGATCCTGCCGAGCCAGAGGGTACGAAGGAGGAGGTCATATCCATGAGTCTCTGATGAGAACCACTGTCACTAGAGTCTTCGGGGACACAGAACCACAGCCTTGCACCAAGCCAGCCCGATTGCACATGCAAATGACTCCCCAGGGATGTCTGTCTGGCAACTGTGTGCCCAACCTTAGACTGATGCTACCCTGATTATTGTACCAAAACAACTCACCTAATTTTTTAGGGCTTACATAATCTATTTTGCCTTTAAAAGTTTCCCTTTGGCCCTTTCTGTTTGAGTGAGCCTACACATGTTCCTGTTTCCAGTGTCAACGCCCAACACATCTCATTATTTTTCAGCCTCTCTCTCTCTTATTTAAAGTTTGACAGCTACAGCTACAGAGAGAAGAGACCTCAGTTACCTTGTTTGC